GGGCCTTAGTAATACTCAGCCACCCACGCGCATCCCTAAGAGACTTAAGTGGGTTACACTGTTTGTTCAAACATCAAATTAATGATTAGATTTTAAATTATTATATTACTAATATTGCTAACTGTAATGTGTGTTGAATAAACGATATTATTATTATTATCAACATCAGTTTAGTAATACAGGTTACCTTTCATTCAAACACGTTCTCTACATCAAGAGAGTTAAAACAGTTTCACTTGTCGAATATAACAAAACAAACTCGTATATTTCAAATACAGAAAGGACGATGGTTTTTAGTAAGTTCATTTTATATAGGTAGGTACTTCAAGCAAAATTAATTTTGAATGCGGTAGGTATTTTTGTTTTTGCTGAAATTTAGTCGAATGAACACAATATTTAATAGACAATAAAATAAAGGAAAAGACATAAAGAGCAAATCTGAACTTCCAATTCTCGTTAGAAATCGTGCCGATTTGACCGGCGTCTATATAATAAAGTGTATACGAAAAACACAAACAATATTTCATGTCAATCAAATTAAATTTGACACAATTTCCCGTATACATCTCAAAAACTACCACTTCTTCATCGATTTAGCTTTCTGGAACAAAATTACTAACGTAATTTAGACAAATTTAATAGGAGGCCGACTCTTAGATTAAATAGACCAGAGATGGAACAGATATTCTTTTGCCGCGGAAAATTTATATCTACACTTCTCACAATTTAATGATTTTTTTAAATAATTTTACGGATGTTACTTGACCAAATTAAAAATTAAAAACGAAGAAAAAGCGAAAAAGAAAAAGTCCGTGTCACAGAAATGTCGAGCAACTTTCTTGTTTGTTTTTTATTTTTAAGTTGGTCACATTTGAGAATACGAATTTATTTTCTTTGGTTATTATTACACCTTGTTCTACAGAACTATATACCACAGCAAGCTTTTATTTTGCTTTCTAAATGCAGACTGTAACGTCAGATTATCGTGACACAAAAGTTCGGTTGTCCCAGATATCAACCTTGTGGCTCCCGGTTCACTCTAGTGAAGATGGAAGTGGGTGATTACCTTGTAATCTGGGAAAAATACTATATTTTTGATGTTGGGTTGGACGCCAGGTAGATCTTTAATATTGAGCCTATTTAAATCCAGAAAAGTCCTACTTTTAAATCTACCAAATAAATAGGAAAGAAAAAGACAACCTTAACTTAGATCTTGTTTATATACAAATTGAAAAACACTTCGTCCTTCCCCTCACCCCGAGTTAATGACCCTCAAAATCCCTGTATTAATAATGTAATTCGTATCAAAAATGAATACACTGTCCTACGTACATTTTATGTATAGTCCTCTAATAACCCCAAAATATTTAAACAATATATGTAATGCCTTACAAATACAGAAACTAAACTGGGATGGTTCAATATACCCTAGTAAAATTAACAGTTATTACCCCACGGTCATTAGCGTTGGATCCAAGGCGAAAGACTTGTCAGGCGTGACCAAAAGAAAAGTTAACCGCAACTATAATAATAATAATAATAATAATAATAATAATAATCATTTATTCTCAACGTATTCACACCCAGTTACAGAGAATATACTTACAATTCTACAATGTATAAATAAATGTAAGAAAAAAAAACTTTAAATAATATACTGAAGCTAATGGAAAGACAATTTCTGCAATATGATTATTAAATTTAAATTCTCTATCAAAGACTATTCCTAAATCATTGAATGTTACACATCTATCCAAAGTGGTATTGTTAAGAGAGTAATTGAAAATTATGGGATTTTGTTATCTATGAAATGAGATTACTTTGCATTTAGTTAAGTTCAACTGTAGATAATTATCAAGGCACCAGTTATAAATTGTATTCAATGCATTTTGCAGTAAGAAACAGTCTTCATCGGATTTGATTTCAATATACATTTTTAAATCGTCGGCAAAAAGTAAGTGTGGTATCAACAGTTGACTTGATATATCGCTTATAAAAACAAGGAATAGTAAGGGTCCCAGATTGGACCCTTGAGGAACACCTGACAATGAAATATATCTATTAGACCTTAAACCACCATACTCTACAAACTGGTATCGATTAAGCAGATATGACTCCATTAATTTCAAAAGAGAATTCGAAAAACCAACAGATTTGAGCTTTGATAATAAATGATAGTGATCGATTTGGTCAAAAGCTTTCTCTATATCAGTATAAATAACATCTACTTGACCGACAGTGTCAAGTGTGTTTGATATATACTGTGTTATACATGCCAAATTAGATACAGTCGATCTTTTTGACATAAAACTGCGCTGAAAGTTAGAAATTAATGGTTTCACTTTATTATAGACGTTTTCGTAAATTATCATCTCAAACACTTTTCCAAAGTTACAGAGTATGGCTATTGGTCTGTAATTATCTATAGCAGAGCGATCACCGGATTTATGAATTGGACAAATTTTTGCGGTCTTCCATACGTCAGGATAAGTTTCCGTTTTTAAGATTAGGTTAAACAAGAAGCAAAGAGGTTTGGCAAAGGGATTGGAACAGTCCTTGACAACAAAACTTGGTACTTTATCTACTCCCGCCGTAAATTTGTTTTTAAGTTTTTTTGAAGCTAAAACTATATCGATATCAGATACTGAGTCAATACAAATATGCAAATTAAACATAGAGACTGATTATTAGGAGGTAAATAAACACTAGAAAAGAATTCAGAAAAGCCATTTACAATAGACTGAGACGTTTCATAGACTGAATTATTTATCTGCATTCTGCCAGATTTTGAACATGTTGCGAGTAATACGGAGGTCGTCGGAACTTAACCCAATACAAGAAATATGTATATCGCTTCTACATCCATCGCAGGCTCTAGTAGAGCCACCTTGTTTAACATTTTGTTTGCAATTCGGACATTTATCAGGCATGTTAAAAACTGGTTGTAATTAGCGTTTAAATACAGATAAATAATATGTTCTTATTCAAATAAATACAGGTTGAATGCAGTTATTAAAAGTGAAATATTCACAAAATTACAGTAACTGCACTGACTGTTGTGGATTGTTTTTGATAGGAAACTGTTTATATTTACCACTTGTTTAAAATTTTCGATAATCTCGCGATAAAAACCACTTTTTAGCACATTTTTAGCGGAGCACGACAAAACAGCACTATTCGCATTCAACTTTTATTGAATATATAAACAGATTTAAATACTCAGAGACTTTTAATCTAAAATATTACTATTAATAAACATTAATTTTAATAAACATCATCTTAAGGTAAAATATATGAACTATATTAAAATTTAATAAACGTCATGGGCCCTTAATAGCACATGAGCTAGCATATCAATTTAACATCTTATAAAATAATAAAATATACATCTACGTATTAGTCGTAGGCTAAATGTTACCCCAAAAACATACCCCAAAGTAATAAAAATAAAATCTCGTTTTACTTATCTCCTAGTCCGTGATTTCGATAGGCAAAAGGTGCCGCCTGTGGCACTGTAGTCGTACGATGTCAAATCTCTGTAGTAACAGCAATTCCCAGTCGAAACATTGGTACCCAACAGTATCTTCAATATTTCAACATTAAACCGAAACACTGGTTTCAAACACCGGATACAAATACTGGGTCCAAACACTGGGCCCAAAAAACCCTCTTATCCCAGAGGGTGTAACTTCAATCAAAAACGCAGAGAAATCTGCTAAAACCTTCTTAAAACCAGTGTACCCTTAAATATACGGTGTGAACTACGATCGGCCTTCAATATGAGACTGCTAATACATCTACCAATGGGCTGAACTTCAATTCTCACGAGTTAAAAGGCCGGCACTTTACAATCACATCACCAAAATAACGGTCTTAGCTCGACGTTAACCAGATTCAATTTTAACATTAATGCTTCTTAAAATATTTAGCTACTTTTCTAACACTCTCCGGCATAGGATGATTCCATAATATTACAAAAACTAGAAAAGTATATCTTGACGAATTTACAGTTCAAACCACCATTCATCAGAAAAGACCACGTGTAGCTTCGTTTTTCTCCAACACCAGAACGAAACCTCGATCGCGCAGAATCGCCGTAAACAAAACCTCTTTCAGCCAATTATCAATCTCAGACAAGTACGATTAACGAGTGGAATCCCTGCACTCACCAATAAGCTTTAACGATTGCAAAAATAAAACTAACTGTATCATGCTGGTATCCCTTTATTACCCAATAGAAATCCTAAACAACGAAAAGTCAAAATATACTCAAGGAAATGTGAATGATTTTACCATCGCGGTAAAAATTCTCTTGTGGTACTTATCTATGATCTGACAGCTGTTCAGCAGTCACTCACAACTATACATATAACTCTACTTATTTGACATTCGGTATCAAACGAATATAATCTAAAACTAATTCAGCGAGTATAAATTGTTGTTTAGTGCTTGTGAAAAGTATTTAGAATATCCACGACAATTAAGTCAGGTCTCAGTTAACGAAATGTGCTGTTTGTAAAGTTCATGGTTACCAAAAAGATTGTTGTCTAGTGTAAAGAATATAGTAAGCATTTACCACAACAAGGATTGTTGTCTAGTGTAAAGATTATTGTGAACAATTACCACAACAAGGAAGGATATTAAAGGTACATTTTAGCATAAATATTACAATTTGCTTAAGGAAGGTATGAAAAAACGAGTTTACCTATGCCTATTTGTGTTAAACATATTTTAATTCTTGTAAAAATATTATATTAAGTATGAAATCCATATAATTTCAAACTCGGAGAATGGGATAATATAAATGTGTATTGTGTGAATGCATGAAAACTTTTGACTAGTCGGATAATTTTTATTTTAAGCAAATTTAGGTAAAGAATTACTTTATGGACGAACAAAACCTATACTATAGTCTTAACGCTCGATTAAAACCGTTACAAGATAGCACTGCCATTTTTAATCGTTGTATGTCTACACTCTTTCAACCTCCATCAATGTAGGCGAGTGTAGTCGAGATTGTCGATTTCGTGCTGATGAGACAAAATAAAAACGAAACTCGTTCTCCTTAGGATCAATTTTTAACACTGCCATTTTCTGCCTGTTGCGTTATTAGCCAAAGGAGTAGTTTTTTTCGCGAGGGAAACGGTGACTCGACATTTCTATGATACGTACTTTTAATTTTTCTCTTTTTTATTTCCTTTTTTTTTGAGCTGTCTGTACATTCGGAAATAACAAAACTCTTATGCGATTAATTAAATAATTTAGGTCTGGCAAAAGTAACAATATGTATCCAGGTAAAATTTTCCATCTCAGAAAGTGTATTTTGTTAGCCAGTTTAAATTAAAAAACGATCATTAAGTTCCGGCCGTGAAATCTGCTTTAGTTAAATATATATAAAAATATGTTCAGTCAATTAAAAATTAAAAAAAATAAAGAATGTTATTTTTTACTTCCACCTTAGCACACAAATAATCCTTAATCTCTAATCCTTAAAGCTTTTTTTCAGTATTTGCACGTTTTTTTTTTTTAAACGTGGCACAAAGCTTTTAATACAAAGCTACTTATAAAATAAATTTTAAGAAAAAGCATTATTTCCATAAAAACGAATAGGTAGGAAATTCTTCGCAATTAAAAAAAAAATCGTAAAATCTACTGACAATTTTAAATAAAATAAGGTGTTTATGGAAATCAATTTTCATATAAATAGGTAGCACGTATACAGGGTGTTTCCGAACTTGGCGTCCAAATTTGTAGGGGTGGTAGTTCGCATAATTTGATAGCGATTGGCAGATTTGATTTTTCTAAAAAAATTATAATAAACAAAATAGAGCCATTATAAAAAAAATCTAAGAGCAGGTCCTACCCTGAGTGCGTAGCGCGTAGCTAGTTCAGTGATGATGTATTTATGGTTCCTCTGACAATTAAAGTGACGGTAGATTTTTTGAGTGCGTTCTATTCGTTTTATTTACCTAAATTATATCGTGTCTTCACTTTTATAAAAAATATATTCCTAAAGTAAGTAGATAACATGCATCAAATATACAATCGTTTAGTTACCAATTACATACCTTTAAACTATTTTTTATGACCTGTAAACAATATTTAGAAATAGACTAAAAACAGTAAAAACGTATACGTCAAATTTACTGATGCTTTAGTTAAAAGTTTGGTTAGAATTAAATGTCAGTGGAACTAAAATGACATCACACTGAACTAGCGCATAGGCCTCAAAAAAAACAGATGCGATTTGCAATTTTGTCGATTCTAAGCGTAGCGCGCGCGAGTCGAGGCAGTCCTATCGCTGTGCAGGACCGTACCTGTTTATAATTTTTAATTCATTTTTAATTATTTTTATTTTAAATATTTTGTAAAAATGAAATCTGCGAATCGGTCTCAAATTATGCGAACTACCACTCCTACAAATTTGGACGCCAAGTTCGGAAACACCCTATATTATTAACATTCAATTCTTTTCAAAATAAAATATATAACTATTAAAAACGCATTCTCCTTCATATAAAATTATCTTATTGGATATTTACATATCAAATTTCTTACCAGCATAGTAAGGTATGCTACATGGTTCAATTTTGGGACCAATCCCATTTGCTCTGTACATTTCTGACTTCCAAACCGTTGTTCAAAATTGTGCGATTCCCCATTATGCTGTGAATACGCAGCTTTATCGATCTTTTGACAAAGAGTCGATATGTAGGTGACATAATGTTTGAGGCAAGATGAGGCATAGTTGCCCCATCTTGCCCCAGATGGTACTGATGATACTATATATTAAGAATAAAATCTGAGAAAGTGTGACTGTTACCCTCTTCCCCGAAGCCCTACAATTATTAAAAAAAAAAACTTATGGGAAAACTTTTTGTAGCATAATGGTTCGCTGTTACAAAAGAAAAACAACAAGGGGAGATTGGTCAAAAGAAAGCATGAAGAAAGCGGTTGAAAAAGTAGTGACTAGCGAAATGGGCAAGCGCAAAGCTGCACTAGAGTACCACAAACCACTTTTGAGAGGCACGTCAAAGCAATTAGGACCAAAGGTGAAATGAAATTAGATTTACTGTTAGGACCGATCAAAACCGTGTTCAGTCGTGAAGAAGAAAATAAGCTTGTTAAATATTTCAAAGAAATTGAAGCAAGATTATTTGAACTTACTACTTTGGAACTAAGAAGTTTAGCTTACCAGCTGGCCGTAAAAAATGGTAAGGTACATAAATTCAATTCAACAACCAAAATGGTGGGTGTCGATTGGGTCCAGGGATTTTTAAAACGCCATCAAGACTTATCTATAAGAAAATCAGAAGCTACCTCAGCTGCCAGGGCGATGGGCTTCAATAAAGTATCAGTCGCAAAGTTTACAACTGCGCAGAAACGGGCGTTTCATCAGTTTCAAAAACAAAATCGAAAATAATCTCACGTAAGGGAAGAAAGCAAGTGGGATCGTTGTCGTCAGCTGAACGAGGACAGACCGTTACCGTGGAAATTTGCGTTAGTGCCACAGGACTCTATATGCCACCAACGATGATCTTTCCACGAAAACGCATGAAAGCAGAACTATTAAATAATTTGGCACTAGTAACAACTTCTCAATATAATCCCAGCGGGTGGATGACAACCGATATATTTGTGTTGTGGTTTAAACGTTTTATCGAATTCACTGGAGCGAGCAAAGGCAATCTTGTACTATTGTTACTTGACGGTCACTCTAGACACACCAAAAACATCGAACTAATTGATCTTGCTAGAGAAAATGTGGTGGTCATAATCTGCTTTCCACCTCATTGCACACACAGGCTCCAACCATTGGATGTATCGTTTATGAAGCCTTTACGTATATACTATGACCAAGCCGCAACAGCTTGGCTTAGATCTAATCCAGATCGAATTATAAGCATGTTTTAAATTGCCGAAATTTTCGGAAAAGCTTTTATAAAAGCCGCTATAATGTCCACAGCAATTAACGGCTTTTACAAATGCGGTATATGGCCAATTAACTCAGATAATTTTACTGGTGCCGATTTTCTTGCTGCGGATACAACAAACATAAATATCGAAGAAGAGCAAGCGCCTCAACCGCATGCTACCGTAATCCCATCTACTAGTCATCAGGTTCTTCCAGAACCCCACTCAAATTTAAACAAGAATATGATTTCTTCTGTCAGCTCTTGCCATTTTGCTGAGCTACCATCTACAAGCTATGGGACCCGTATTGAGTCTAACACTAACAATGTGGGTCCAACTACAATATCTGAAAGTTCAGATGACGACAATCTTCCTTTGAGTATGCTTGCAGTAGCTCGCAGGTTCTTACCTGTGGCACCATTTGAAAAAACCCCACCACCATGTGACTCTCCATCTAAGACTGCTACCTTGCAGTCGCCTCTAAAACACGTTTCTCGTAATTTGAATAGTAGCTTTGAAAATTGTGGCCTTGCAGACGAAATGTCTATTCCCAGTGTTCAGATCAAAGTTAAAAGAAAGAAACCCCATCGTGGAAAGACGGCCATTCTTACCTCTACTCCCTATAATAGAGAACTAGAAGACTGCAAAAATACTGCTTCCCTAAAAGAAAATATGAAACCAAAAGTTGCTGTGAATAAAAAAAAAACAATGGCAAAGATGCTCATATAACAGCTGAAGATGATGCAGATTGTTTTTCTTGTGGTAAAAGTTATTTACAGTCCAGTGAAGGTTGGATTGCCTGTCAAATGTGTCAGAAATGGTCGCACAATTCTTGTGCTGGAATAGAGGAAGATGACCCAATTGAAACCGGTTATAAGTGCGATATATGTAAATTGGAGTACATTCCCATCTTACCCCCTAGGCTACCCCATTTTACCCTTACCAGGGGCAAAATAGGATATTTTTTGTGTGACTTAAACCAAATATTTTTATGTTTAAAGCATTGTTAAAGTTAACAGATACGTTTTCTGAATAAACATTATTTTTTGACAATTGTTTATTGTTTTTATCAATATATAACCTTAGCGTCCCCGTCTTGCCCCTAGTTCCCCTATTTCAAGCCTGCATCCTATAGTCTTGTTAACTAGACTATTAACGAAGATTTGAATTCACTATTTCACATATCTACTCTACACAACTACATCAACAGTAGTATTGTACTTGGTGCAATAAAATATATAAAATAAATTGTAGATCAATTACAGAAAGGCGGCATTTTAATATGACTCACAAAAAATCAGATAAATTACCTTTTAACAATTACAACATATTTTACTTATTAAGATTGGGACATAAGACATTGAAGCTTCAAAAACGCGAATATTTATTCAAAAAATTAATAATGTTTCAAATATAAATGAACAGAATCACCCTAGTCATTCCTAAACACCAAGATTATTTTCTTATTGTAGCTTCATCCAAAGAGTATAACTATTTTGGGCCAGAAATTAGATCCTATAATTTAGTTAATTTTAAGAAATGTCTAAGAAAGTATCTAAAAGTAGAGCTATAATACAATTAACAACAAAATTGATACCTAATTAATTTAGCTAAAAAATAAATGATTTGTATGTTTTTAACTTTTTTATTATTTAAATACGTATTTTTTGTTAGGTTAAGTTGTCAAAGTAAAAGCTGAACTTTGTCTTTTTTCATTTTTTAAATATTTTCTTTTTATAAATTATTATTGTGTGTTGTCCTTTTTAACTGATGAATAAAGTTCTGTCATTATTATATAAAATGTTTGTGAATGGTTTTTAAGATATGGTTTAACATAAATTCCACTTATAACTAAACTTTTTTCGATATATTATTCGTCGTGCCATAACGGAGATATTTTCAGGCAAACTAAATCCCGGATTTCTAGTAGGTAACGGAGTAATAAAACACTTCCATATAGGAATATATTACTTGCAATCCAATATATTTGAGGACAATTTCAGGTTTCTTTCCACCTAGATATATTCGATTTCGTGATATATAGCAGAATTTCATGTCAAATTAATGTTTTGAGGATCGGAACAAATTTG